TTTGGTAGCTGAAGTCATTCTCATTAAAACAAAGGTTTTTATTTCAATGCAAATTACTATAGCTAAAATTTCTAATCCTGAGTTTTTTCCTCCCTTATTTTCATATGTACACACACATCCCTTTGAGATACCATCATAAAGACAAAAGTGGAAGACACAATGGCAAGTGAAAGATTAACTGCTTCTGGAAGAGCCAAAATTAGTGTGGGCCTCATTTTTCTTGACCTTCGCAAATTGGGAGCATGACCACATTCTCCATAACCATGTTTCTTTCTAAAGTGTTACAAGTTGAAGGTAGACTTTGTGCCTGACACCTCCCATGCCCCCCACTAAACTGACAGTAGTTAACATGGATTCTGAGTCAGCCTGCCTAGGTTTGAATCCCAGCTCTGGCAAAATACTTAATCTCTCTACACTCAGTAACCTCCTGTCTACACAGAGTGGAAATATTAACAATGGTACTGATCCCATAGAGTTGCTATGAAGCATAAATAATGTGGATAAAGCAGCCACTTTAACACTATATGGCTTTTCAAATTTGCTATATAATTTGAATATAATGCTATATGGCTTCTCAAATTTGTCATCATCACTGTGGCAAAAGATCTTGACTATGTCACATGAAGTAAAGACTGTCATATGGGAAGATATATTAGGTTAAATCACCCAATTTCTGATTACAAAACATAAAAATAATTTTTTCACGTTTACGTTAGCTTCATACAATTCAGAAAATATTTTAAATGACAATATAATAAATAAATATGGATGCTATAAATTACTTTGCAGTTCAAAACTTAAAAGTTAATCCAGACTAATAAGAAAGTTTAATACAAGAACATTTCGAAACATGGCACAATATTGCCACCTAGTGAATATTTCATTTTAAACAATTTTGTAGATCATGCTTCTCCGCTTTATCTTCAGGGGGAAAAAATCTTTTAAAAAAGCAGCACATTCTCTTCACTAATGTAAAGTAGATTAAAATAATAGGACACAAATTAAATACTGTATTAGCAGTACTCTCAAACACTATAGTCAAAAATACCTTCTCCTGTCCCAGCCAGTTGCTAAGTGGTTAGAGCATCGGCCGGGAGACTGAAGGGCACATACCTGGGCTGCAGCTTGATCCCCCAGGCAGGATGCAACCAATCAATGTGGCTCCCTCCCATCCATGCTTCTCTCTCTCCCCTCCCACTATCTGAAAAGCAATGGAAAAAATATCCTCTGGTGAGGATTAAAAAAAAAGTAAAAATACCTTCTACCTTCGATATACTTTAAATTTTCTGTTACCTTGCTTTAGAAACAAATTTGAGATACACAACTCTTGTTCCTAGAGCAAGGTAACAGAGTTTTTGTTCAGAAATTTAAAGTATATTGAAGACAGCATGCAAGTCACCAGCTATTTCTTCATGGCTTACCAATTAATGCAAAAAATATTCGCTGTAACAAACATAAATTTCAAGGCATACGGTTGTGAGGGACCTAAAAAAGGCATTTACTCAACCTGTGTGCTATCTGAATCTCTTCTGAAGTATCCCTGACAAATAAAAATCTTGCCTTCAGGGAGCCAGCAAACTTACTTTCCTCTGGGCCCATTCCCCTGCAGACACTACACAATTAGAAAATATATGTTTTCCATGAGATGAAATCTGCTGGCCCTTGATTTATACTTCAGGGAATATAGGCTATTCTAATTCTTCTTCCAAGTAATTATTCCATTATGAGAGCTGACCGAGTTATAGGATCTCTGCTTCTCCAAGTTAAACACCCCATATATTCTTTCAGCCATTGCTCTTGCAACACCATTACAAACCCTTATCATCTGTTCATGCTTCTTTAAACAGTTTCTAGCATTTCAAAAAATGACTACAGTACAATCAATACAAAAGTAATATGCCATGAATGGTCTGGCTAATGCAGAGTAAAGATGTATTATCACCTCTCTCCACATTCTACTTCTCTTAATGAAGAACTTTCACCCTGAGGGCAGTTAGTAGTCAGAGTCTTGGGAATCAGACCAATCTGTTTGTGATAGTGTTGACTTTGGGCAAGTTGCCTTACCTGCTTGATCTTTAATTTCTCCAGCAATCAAACAGAAATCAACATCTGCCTCCCAGGAACCAGCAGGATCAAAGGTAACAATAATTGTAAATCAGCCAGTAGTATTACTCTCAGGACACTGTAGGTGCTCAATAAATGACTGCAATTATTTCAGGTGTGCCATACACACACATACATGGTTGACTGAACTGAATTGATGTAAGTTTCCTAGTCAGTGTGGAAAATCAACTGTTTAATATTTTTTTTGTCAGAAAAATCTTTTGGTCTATTAATACACTGACTTCAAATTAATGCTAAATTAATCAAACACTCATTTATAAAGGACAATATGAAGGTATTATTGGATTACTTCACTGTGGCATAATTTCTTACCCTAGAAATGATTTCTAAATGTTAAAGAAATTAATGTTGGCTTGGTCAGTGTGGTTCAGTCGGTTGAGCAGCATCCCAGGCACCAAGAGGTCACTGGTTCAGTTCCAGGTCAGGGCACATGCCCAGGTTGCAGGCTCAGTCCCCGGGAGGGGTTGTGCAGGAGGCAGCTGATCAATGTTTCTCTCTCATCAATGTTTTTATCTCTTTCTCCCTCTCCCTCCCTCTCTCTCTAGTCAATAAAAACATATTTTTTTAAAAAAAGAATTTAGTGTTGGATTCATGGATATGTTTTTAAGAATACAGCCTCAATACCTCCCTTTTTATTATACTTTTATTATAATTATGTAAGTTTTAGTGTATTAAAAATGCTTGGCAACATTTAAATACATAAAAAGTACCCTAAATAAAACACAACAGTTATCCATAAAGTAGTAAAATTCAGCCCAACTAAAACACAAAATATTTGTAATTGGTTGAAAATTCTTTTTCCTTAAAAGTCTAATAACCATCAGTCCTACTAGTACTATAATGTAATGGTTGAAAGTTACTTATTTTAAATAAACAACAATAATTTTGAACTCATATCCTATTATAAACATGTAACATATTTATAAGTAAATACATGTATAAGTAAGTATTAAGCACTATGGTAAATAAAAAATTTTAAAACTAGGTCAGAAAATTTAGGCAGAAAAAGTTAATGATGGTTCTTACTGTGAAATATGTGATTTATTTTCTAAATTAATATTTTATAGTAAATTTTTTCTAGGATATTCACTTCTTCCTATACTAAAAACTTCATTCAGTATTCATTTACTCAATGTTTAATATATAACTTAAGAACTTTTTGGATATGTAGTAGGGGCTGAATCCTTTTTGAAATAAGGCTAGACATGTGCCAGGCACTGGCCAGTCAGGACAAACACTATACTCATTTGAAATGAGGGTCAAAGTTGAAACCACTTGCCCTATTGATTCCAAAGCCACAAGAAAATATAAAAATCTTAACTGCCATGTTAAACGCTTCTTCTACAAGCCCATGGTTCCAAAATCATGTTTAAATTTCCATTACAAAAATTTATTTGCATGATACTTTTTCTTGTTTAACTTTTTAATGAAATGCTAATTGCTTTAAAGATAATAAAAGCTAACTTAATGAACATGATTTTATTTCTTTATATGAACATTTTATTTAGAAGTGAGTCTACACAAATACAGAGAACATTTTGATGGTTGCCAGATGGATAGGGGGTTGGGGGGCTGGGTGAAAAAGGTGAAGGGATTAAAATGCACAGCTTGGTAGCTACAGAAGAGTCACAGGGATGTAGAGCACAGCCTAGAGAATATAGTTAATAACACTGTGACACGTACGTATGCTGTCAGGTGGGTACCAGATTTATTGTAGTGATCACTTCGTAAGTTATATAAATGTCCAATTATAGGGCTGTACATCTGAAACTAATATAATATTGTATGTCAATCAATTTAAAAATTAAAAAGATAAATAAATAAAAGTACATCTAATATAACAGTCTCCTATTTAGGGGGTATAAATAAAGATTGAGGATCTCTTCTCTTCTCGTCGCAATTAAACTCAAACTAAAAATGTACTACAATAAGCTACTTGTTTATTAAAAATCAATTGCATTAAACTCTTTATATTAAGGTACCTTATGACAGACTAAGCACATTCCAGAAATAACTTTAAGAAGAGGAGAAAGAGGCCAGAGAACTAACAAAATAATTTTTCTTGCCAAATGACATGCTATGTTTAACCTCGGGAATGCTACATTTCCAAATAATTTAAATACACAGTCAGATACATTAGAAAAGATTTCTGGGTATCCACCAAGAGAAAACATAAATAATACGTGAGGAAACAGCATACTGGAACCTTACTAATGCTATATAAAGATAATATTCACTGATGCTATATAAAGATAATACTCATCCATGAAATGTCACAGAAGGAAAAAAGTTCAAACGGATTTATTACTGGGCCTAAACATGTTATGGACTAAATTCTTTTGGCATTCTTTAATATATTCCTACATACACACTTTAATATCAATACTTGCAAGGCTCCACAGGCTCTCTCTTTTTTTTATAATCACCTTTTAATCAAGAAATTAAATTAAGTCTAAATTTTTAAAACTTCATGCCAAAAATATCTGTTTGACAGCAATGCTTTATGGCATCTTCTAATTCACAGCATTCTTTTCTAAAATATAAGTACTGTATTTTATACTTTATAGAAAAAAGCAAGATTGACCTGTTTTCTCTGAATGCAGATTTTTTCCAAAACATCTCTTCACACAGCAGGAACTTAAAAATTAAATGTAACAGTGATTCCCCCAATCTATGGGGTGGCATGGTTTCCTCATTTCTGCCAGACTAGATTAGAGAAGGAAAGTTCTTCTGTCTCAGAAATATTCCTAAAAGCCTTTCATATACGGTATTGGACAAGAAAGCTATTTTTCCTAAATTAAACATTTATTTTTCAATTTTGAATAACTGGAGTTCAGAACACCATTATAAATAATTTCTTTGAGTGTACTTTCTTGTCTAATTAAATAAAAAAGTTTGGGTAAAAACATTTGTCCTAAATAAAAAAGTTTATAAAAAAACAACAGACTGCTCGGCTCCACCCAAGAGTTCCTGACTCAGTCGGTCCTGGGAGAGTATGAAATTTAAAAAACAGAACAAACAAAAAAACCACATTTGTCCTACAATGACTATTATAACTAAAAAGTCGGTCTACTTTCTAAGTACTGAGTAGAGTACAACAAGATTGTTCTGTATTACTCAACCATACTTGTAATTTTCACCTGTACACAATTTTCTATTTGCAAATGCAGAATACTTTCCAATTCTACTCATTATTTAAAACAGAGAAAACATTAGTCAACATTTAAGACAAAGTAAATTGTTCACACAACTATTTTAAAAAGTTTACAAACATAAAGTGAGGTTAAAAACGAATTCTATTCACAGTTCTAAGTTTACATGTCAAAGCTAACATGTCCAAATACTTTTCTGTAATGGAATGACAACCAATGAATGTACTCAAAACAGCAGACACAGAATCCAAAAACCCACACATAAAATAAGACTAGATCAGCTGTTCCCTACTCTACAAAGTAAGACTAAATCAAATGATTTCTAAACTTCCTTTCAATTCCAACTTTTCTTATATAATGGAATCAAATGCCAGTTACCTTTAGTTTTATATTTGGCCTTAAAGTCAGTTTTTTCAACCTCTCAGTAAAGGTAAAATTTTACGTAAACTACCTCAGCAAAGAAATTATTTCCTATGCTTTTATGAAGTTTGTCCTAAAGTCTCCTTTGGTAACTTTAGCGGGTTGAAAAGTGTCCCACAGAAAGACATGTCTACTTGGAACCTGTAAATATGACCTTATTTGGAAAAAGGGTCTCTGTAGGTGTAACTGAGTTAGTAATGTCATCATGAGACCAACCTGGATTAGGGTGGGCAGTAAATCCAATGATATTGTCCTTATAAGACAGCGAAGACGGCGGGCAGAGAAACTGGAATGCTGCATCTATAAACAAGGAACACCAAGGACTGCAGACGGCCACCTTAAGCTAGGAGAGAAGCAGGGAACCGATTCTCCCTGAGCCTCCAGAAGGAGCCAGCCACTTGAGGACTGCCAACACTTGAGACTTATGGCCTGGAACTGTGAAAGAAATTTTTTTAAGCCACTGAGTTTGGGGTAATTTGTTATGGAAGTCAAAAAAAACTAACACAGTAAATATTTCAAAAAAGAAAATCCCTTTTTAAAGGTATTATCATCAACATAATTATCTGTGGCCATCACATACTTCATATTAGGAATTAATGAAGAGCTTCCCCATTTGTAGATTTTTAACAAATAACAATAACTTAAATCCTAGATAGACATAGATAAGCCTTGAATTTCTAGTATTTACTATGGATGTGAGTCTATTTTGCCTTATGATTAAAATTATATTTACTGAAATGTTAAGCAAGGTTTCAATTAAGAACATTACCTGATCATTTGTCAATATTTTTCAAATATTCTGTCTGCTATTGCTTTCTGAAGAGAATTAATACATAAATTCCAGTATTATTACACATGCTCAATTTTCTTAAACTCGTATCTATAAAAAAGTTTCCAAGCTTTTTGAGTGACCAGCAGTATAAAAGTGATACTATGAGATAACTGTAAACAATTTTATTTTCCCATTATTACTCAGGCTTATGGAGTAAGTCTTAAACTTTTCTAAGTTCTTTACCACTTAACTCCCTTGGATTTCTTATATATGTTTAAAACACATATATCAGGGTTTTTTTTAAAAATAAAAAAATCTGATGTGATCTGAGAACCACCACTGTGCCTAAAAGAAAGTCCATAACTTCTATCTGTTCAGTTGCTCATGTGGAAATACTGAATCTACTGTTAGAGTTCAAGATCTCTGTGACATTACCACATAAACCTCTGAGTGTCCTGACTATTTGGCCACTGAAAAGTCTTGTTCAGAAAGATATAAAAAGTTAGGAAATTAACAACTGTATAGCAACCCAATTCACAAACAAGTCTGGAAATGGGGGGCAGAGGTATGTTCAGCCTATAAATGACATACGGTAAAATAAAGTAACGGAATTCTAGCAGTTTCTGAGGTACTACAACAGTGAGTAAGCACATGAAAAACATTAAGTTCCAGAAAACTGACTTTGATTTCAGCGAGTCGGTTATACTCCAGCCAGCAAATAGATAGACTGGGACTAACAAATACTTCACAATTTCACATCTTTGAAAAACTCTTTTCCATACGTAGAACGTATAGTGTCTATTATCTGCTAACAAGTATTTGTGAACGTAAGTGAATTTCCAAACTAAGACTACAGAGACCAGAGTAAGCACAAGAAACTGAATTTTACGCTTCCAAACTAAGCAAAGAAAAGCTTTCATTTTGCTGGGAGACAACAGGTGAGGAAAGGAAAAGAAGAGGGTGAAAGAGAAAAAGTAGAACAGCTGGGGGAAATGCAGGCAGACTTCATGGCTGCTCCGATCGCCGACGACGATGCCGCCGTTAACCGCCACGAAAACACAGAACAGGAGCAGCAGGAGGATGTACGGCCAAGTCAGGAGGAAAAGCATGCTCAGGTTCTTAAAGGACATGGAGTAGACCAAGAGAAACTGAAGAATCTTCCTGAATTCTGAAAACGGTCCTTTAATAGGGGGAAGCCTCTCCTCCCTCTTCTTCTGCAGCTCAGTCTTCCAGGCTTCAGTTAACTTTTGTGCGACGACGTTTCCTGCGCAGAACACAGCCCAGACTATATTCGTCTGACGAAACATGAAGCCGCAAAATCCAAGCAAGGCCGACGTTTTATGATTTCCATAAAGACACATCAAATAGGCAAAAAGAGTAAAAAACATGGAGCCTGCTTCTGTATAGTAAAGGAAGTTAAAAAAATAGAGTGTAGGAAATACTGCCAGGGTTAATGTTGACAAGATTCTCTGGACACTTGAGCCAGCCTAGGAGGAAGAGAAATCACAGTTAAAATTATTTTCATGATAAAACAAATATGCTTTTCCTGTTGAGCTTATGAAGTGACTTCTTAAAAATGAAAAAAACTACCTGAATCTTATTTAAATAAAATTATTCAACATTAACTTTATTTCTGGCTTTGTAAAAACACAATACACATTTATAAGAACACTGGCACTTCTAGTTACATCTATCAGTTTGGAAGCCGGTACGACAATAAATGTGGGTTCCAAAACTTCTGCAGCCTAAAATACTCTGAACCATTCAACAGCAGTTAAGGAGTTATTGTGTACCAGACATTGAACTAAATTCTCTGTGGAACATGAAGATGAATGGGACACAATGCTGGTGGCTCCACTTCCCTGAACTTATGTCACAGCGCCTTCAATAAGCATCCACTTAGCCATCAACACCAATTTTTCTTTTGAGGCTGTCGCTTCAAAACTCTGCACTAGAGGATGTAAATATGTATATAGCACATATACTACCACGCCCAATGATCTTACTATTTCATGTTGAAATTACAAGGATTTTCTTGAAAATACTGGGCTCAGCCTAAACTTAAATATCTTGTTTTAGCCTTTCTGACATACTATTTCAGAATTTGAAAGTGTTCTCATCTCCTTGAATTGTAGTCTTCACTTATCTACTTATTTTAAAAATTTTATTATTTTTAATATTCACCCAAGGATGTGTTTTTATTGATTTTTTTTTAAAGAGAGAGAGAAAGGAAGGGGGGGGGAGAGGGAGAGAGAGGGAGGGAAGGATAGAGAAAGAAACATCCATCAGTCACCTCTCATATATGTCCGACCAGGGATCGAACCCATAACCTAATTACGCGCCCTGACAGGAAACTGAACCTGCAACCTTTCAGTGCACAGGAGGACACTCCAACCAACCGGATCATTCGGCCAGGGCTGTAGCCTTCATTAATTTAAATCATAAAATCAGCCCTGGCTGCTCTGGTTCAGTGGTTAGAGCGTTGGCCTAACTACTGAAGGATCCTGGGTTCGATTCCGGCCAACGGCACGTACCTCAATTGCAGGCTCGATCCCCATCCCTGGTCGGGGCACGTGCAGGAGGCAGCCAGTCAATGTGTCTCTCTCACACGGATGTTTCTCTCTCTCCCCCTTCCACTCTCTCTGAAAATCAATGGGGAAAAATATCCTCAGGTGAGGATTAAAAAAAAAATTTAAATCATAAATTCAAACCAAGCCATTGCCTTCATTAAAATTAAGGGCTGTCCATCACCTATTCAAGTTCAAAACCCTTTCCATGACATTTAAGGACATTGGTGACTTCCCCCTACCTGCTTCTCCAGCCTCACATCTCTGTACAATCATACTCCTCTAATTCCAAACACCAATTCCCTGCCTCTGTTGCTCATGCGTTCTGTTGTGCTTATGCTTCTCCCGCCAGGATGCATTCCCTACCCTACAGCCCTATCTGTTTATGAAGACGCAGCTTAGATGCCACCTTCTCTGTGAAGCCTGACCCACTGCCAGGCACACACCTCTCCCTCCCAGAGGGGCTGCAGTAAGTGCTCTGCTCCTCTGTATCCACACAGTGTCTTACACCCATCTTCCACTCATAATTTACACTACTGAAATAACCTCTTTACTAAAAATAATTGTTATAATTAATATTTATTGAGCCCTTTTACATCAGGCACTATTCTAAGCACCTTCCACTATTAATCTTCTGTGCTCTTCATAACAGTCTTATGAGGTAGATTCTATATTATTCCCATTTAACAGATAAAGACATGGAGTCACTGAGGGGTAACCTGACTAAAGTAACAAAATTAATAAGTGGATAGAATTCAAACCCAGGCAATTCACCTCCAGGACCTGCATTAAGACACATAAAAATTCCTCAGGTAACATCTGTTTCCCCTAATGAAAATGTAACTTTCTTAAGAAAAACATTACCTCATTTACCTCTGTAGTTTCAGCGCTTAGCACATGAAGTGAGCTCAGCAAATATTAAGTGAACTGGTTTTATTGATGAACATTTACTTTAGATTTTACAAATAAATAAAAGTTATTCAAGTATTTAAATATAAACTTTTTATAAAATGGAGGTTGGAAGGTCTTGCTTTATCTTTACAAACTATACACAAATACTAAGTGTTAAAGACATTTTCCACCAAATCTCATAAAACCAATTCATCATAATTGTGGACCTGACTGTATATAAACTTCTAATAATATATTTTGAAAACATACCTTGTGTCTGGGTTGTACCTTGCGAAAAAGCAAATACAGTAAATAGAAGTTCCCAACACTGAAGAGAAGATTCACAAATCTGAGCATTCCAATGGAGCACACAACATGTTCAGACCATCCAAAGATCCAACGGGCAGGTTTGACCACTCCAACTGACAGCAGGTATAGGCCAGGCAATGTAGTAATCATGGGGTCCCACTTAAAAATGAAAGGCGGACAATGAGGAAAGACCAACAGGACTGCCACAAAGATGTCAAGCTCAAAAACATCTTTACCAACAATCAGGCATTTTTAGAAGCTATTCTGTGACACAATTAAGTAAGTCCTCAGCAGATCAGATGCCACCTCTAAAGAAACGTTTTGCTTATATTTTGCACCTGCACCCGCTTTGTGATTGTTAAGGTATCACCAACCGGTAGGTAACAACTTAAAATCAGTTTCTATTCTTCATAAAGACCTAGTTACTCTTTGGAAAGCCTGTATTTTGGTGATTAAATCACAAATGCTCTAGTTTTTAAGAGTGTGGAAACATCAGCTGGAACTCTGATGAGTTTGGAAGGAAATAAGTGTTTCATTCCAGGCCCCATAATGAAAGCTAGCATGTACTGAGCCAGGAAATGGTGTGCTAAGCCCTCTGTATTTAATCCTGCAACATGCCCTACAGTCGATACTACTATTGTCATTTCCAGATGAGTAACCTGAAACTCAGAAATTTACAAGGTCACATAACTAGTAAATAAACTCTGAGATTTAAAAGCAGGTCTTTATCTAACTAGGCTTGATATTTCTAACCACTACTCTACATTGCCTCACCAGAAGCAGGAGAAGAGCGTGCTTACAGCAAGTCCTCACTTAAAATCTGATAGGTTCCGTGACTTTAAGAGAAACACGTACGGAAACCAATCTTAGCACAAGCTCATGGCTATAAACAAGAGTTAAGCTCCTACCGCATCTCATCACAGTTATAAGGAAAAGTCCTTGAACAAAGGAAGTTATCCCAGGGCCTGCTGCACTTTTTGTATCGCTATCTACACATTTACAGAGTCGATGATATAATCCAACACGCTGCCACTTCGCTAGCTGCCACTTTAACCAGTTAACAAAAGGGTCCTCAAAACGCCAGGGTCGGAATTAAGGTAACTTGTCACTTCTCAGCGGTTGCAGATCTCCCGCCCTGTCCCGTCCCCCAAACACAGCAGGCGCGGGGCCGAGGCCGAAGGCGAAGTTTCCGGCTCCTTCCGAGGACCCGCCCCGCCTCGCCCGGGACGGGGGAAGGGAAACGGAGGCGGCTGTCCTCGGCTCCCCACTCGCTAGGGTCACTACGTTACTCCCCAGGAGGCAGGTCTGCTGTTGACTCATTCGTTTAACACCGACTTCACCGATCTCAGGGGCAGGGACGGAAGCTGGCCCCGCTCCCTTTCTGTTTTGAGGCTGGGCGGGGGGAGCGCGGGGCGCTGAGGGTCAGGGAGGGAGAAGCCGGCGCGCGGCGGCCCTGCTCGGCCTCTCGCGCTGGGGACGCGGGGGACGGGCCCCACCTGCGACAGGGAGAAGTGGCCCTCACAGTAGCGCTGCGCCTGCGGCAGGTGGAAGATCTCGTCCATGTAGGGCTCCCGCAGCGCCCGGCTGAAGGCGGAGAAGAGGAGGCAGGACACTAGAAAGGTGCAGCTCAGGGCAGCTGAGAAGTAGTAACCCTCCAGCGGCGCCGCTCCGGCCCCCATCGCCCCCGCCCGAGAACGCGGTCCTGCAAAACCCGTGCGGGGCTCTCGAGCCCGGAACACCGCGCTCCAAACTCGTGATCGAAATGGGCGCGCAAGGCGGGACTGGCCGGACGGGACGGAACATAGCCGGAAGGCAAAGGATGCTGGGAGAGAGCGGACGCTGGACTTCCGGGAAAAACCCGGTCACTGTTTCCGGAGTGAGGACTTGAGGTAACGGACCGGGCGGTGGCGCTGTCAATCACGTGGAGTGAGGCTCGCTGAGTGGTCAGAGCCGCCAGGAGGGGCGGGTCTGCGGCTTCACGCTTTGAAAGGCTAGAAGCGGCGGATCCCTCGAGTCCTTCTGATTTTTTTTCCTGCTGGTTCCCATCTCTCACCAGGAGGGGGCGTCGGTTCCCCACGTTTGCAATTCCCAAGAAAACTAACTTTCAACCATTATGTTATAATAGCAGGAGAATTGATGGTTGTTAGACTTCTAAGGAAAAAGTATTTTCAACCAATTACAAATATTTTGTGTTTTAGTTGGGCTGAATTTTATTACTTTAGGGATCACTGTTAATTGTCTTTTACTTAGGGTACTTTTTATGTATTTAAATGTTGACAAGCATTTTTAATACACTAAAACCTGTAGCTGAGAAAATTATAATATAAAGGGAGGTACTGAGGCTATATATTTTAAAACACATATCCATGAATACAACATTAAATTCTTTTTTTAAAAAATATGTTCTTTTTTTTCTAATGGAGAGGTATTTGGCTTATTTAATTCTTCATCTCTAGGCTTTATCCTATTGAAAAACACAAAGTTTATCACCAAGCAACATAGAGATTTCCTTCCTCGTCAGCAGGGGGAGTGGAATAATTTAAATATTCACAATATCAATATTTTTTCTATTGTATGTATTCATATTCAGACATATGTAATTTTTCCTTTAAATAATCTCTATGTGAAAGGAACTGTGCTTTTTGAAAAAATGAGTAGCTGGAACAATGGCCCTACAACTATTGCTGCCAGTTAAATGAGAAAAATTCCAGGGGAAATAAACTTTATTCTCTAAGACCTTTGCCCTCATACTATATAGAATTTAAGAGAATCAGAAATTATTGAGTTGGGCTATTGTACTGATGAAATTGCAGGACCATTAAGTCAACCAAAGTAAAAAGTTAGAAAGGAAGATAGTGACAATTTATAATATTAGGGTTTTGTGTGTGTGTGTGTGTATGTGTGTGAATCCTCACTCAAGGATATTTTTTCCATTGATTTTTTTTTAGAGTGGAAGGGAGGGAGAGGGAGAGAGAGACAGAGACAGAGACAGAAACAGTGAGGTGAGAGAAACACACTGGTTGGCTGCCTCCAGCACAAGCCCGACAGGGGCCAGGGGTTGACCCTGCAGCCCAGGTTACATGCCCTCGACAGGAATCGAACCCTCCACCCTTCCATGCAGGGACCAAAGCTCTAACCACTGAGCACACCGGCCAGGGCTTAATATTAGATTTTCAATAAACTGTAATATGATTTTACTAATTTAAAATTTCCAGAGTTTGAACTGAGATTTATGATACAATTGTTATGACTGAAGAGATGCTCATCCAAGTTAATGTGAAATATTGAAGATGGTTTCAGTTTGCTCATTTCCCTTTTGGGTTTATAGGCAGAGCCAGGGAAAGACATGAAGACATCCTTGGGCTGACCATTTGGTGCTCTGGACCAGCTGAAAGTCTGGCATACATTCAAAATATTATTCTTTATTTCTATGCTATTAATTTAGTGAGAACAGAGATAACTTGAATTTTCTTTGTTCTTGTTTTATTTTCTATTGCTATTCTGAATGAGACTACAAATTACATAGAATGATTTGCAATTATTTAATACAATAAAACAAAATACTACATTGTTTATTACTGTCTCGAAATTTTATTTTCTGTAATAGCTCAGTCTGGATGATGGATACTTCATTAGGGCAAAAATGTTTGAGATAGGTCTGGGTTATTAAGGAAGTGGTTTTTCAAAACCTTATTTCCACTAGAGGGTGCTGACATCTTCAGCAGAGTCTGGACCAATTTATTACCTTTCCTAAACCGATTTCGGAAAGGTGTTAGCCCTGCTTATTGATCAGCACTCAAATATCTGCTTACCAAGACTGCCACTCAGGATGGCTGTGCTTGTAGTTTTAAAAGTTCATTACTTTCAATACTAATGATTCATTACTATTATTTTATATATTGAAGATGTCTCCTAATAGTCATATCATTCAAGAAGTGTTGGAGGCAAGTGGGAGACTGGAGAGAGCCTGTCAGAGCATGTCTCTCCATTACGTTCTTCCTCTTTGAGAGTATCTTGGATATTCTTGGATATTGCATATTCAGTTATATTTTATTAATTCCCACAAAAGGCCAGTCACTATTTTAATTCATATTGTATTGAATATGTACAATTAATTGGAGAGATAATTGAAATTTGTATCATAAAAATTATTTCAGTTACCCTTTTTGTTTCTGACATTGGTAATTTGTCATTCCTCTGATGAGTGTGAACCATAAGTATGACAACTCCGTCAAGATTATCAGCAATGCCTCCTGCACCACCAACTGCTTGGGCCCCTTGGTCAAGGTCGTCTGTGACAACTTTAGCATTGTGGAGGAACTCATATCCACAGTCTGTGCCACCACTACCATCTAGAAGACTGTGGATGGACCCTCTGGGAGGCTGTGGCATGATAGCCACAGGGCTGCCCAGAACACCATCCCTGCTTCTACTGGTGCTGCCAAGGCTGTGGGCAAGGTCATCCCTGAGCTGAATAAGAAGCTCACTGGCATGGCCTCTGCATCCCCACCACCACCGTGTCAGTCATGGATCAGATCCATTGTCTGGAGAAAGCTGCCAAGTATGATGACATCAAAAAGGTGGTGAAACAGGCATTGGAGAGCCACCTGAAGAGCAGCCTGGGCTACATGAACTAGATTGTCTCTTACAACCTTAAAAGTGACACCCACTCCTGCACCTTCGTCGCTGGGAAGGCATTGACCTCAACAACCACTTTGTCAAGCTTATTTTCTGGTATGACAATGAATTTGGCTATAGGAACAGGGTGGTGGGCCTTATGGTCCACATGGCCTCCAAGGAGTAAGAGCCCCCTGGACCACCCGCCCTAGGAAAAGCAAGGAAGAGAGAGGCCCTTAGCTGCGGGGAGTCTTCCCAACTCAATCGCCCACCATACGAAGAATTTTATTCTCAACCATTTCCATCCCAGGCCCCTGAAGAAGGAGAGGGGTTTAGGGACCCCTACCTTAGTGTGTACCATCAATAAAGTACACTGTACCCAGTCTAAAACATAAATAAAGTCATCAGGAAGACTCGAGGGATTGGAAAAGATTGGGTCCTAGGAAACATCATGAAGTCATTTCCCCATGTCTATGCAATGCCATTTGCCTAAGAATCTGTAACTAATTCAGTCTAGAAAACAGTTGGGTGAAGCTTCAGTATGAGTCTTGTGCTTGACATTCTGCCAGTAAATATTTAATAAATATCTGTTGATTGCAATGCTATTTAAAAAAACATTTCGTGAAAAAATGTATCCTGTCTTATTAAAATACAGAAATAAACTAGAACCCAGGAATCATCCATCAAAGAGTATAATATTTCTTTGATCAAAAATGAGTGATTAAAAAATTCCATGTGACTCAGTCAAGGCCACAGCAACACAAATTTACTTCATTCATTTATTTTGAAGAATAAATTTTAGCTTTAATTATTTATGATAGTTTTAAGTATGCTCACAAATTTATTGCCTTGTTTGGAAGGTATAATTAAATCTCTGCTTTGGGAGATGCTAATATTATTAATGTGTAAAGATAAATCTGAAAGTACACAGTGAAAATGGGAGTACTAATAACTTAGCCCAAATAACTGCCTTTCTCTCTTAGCAACTTTAAAAATGATGTAGATGATGAGTCATTTACACCCAGAAGAGTTAAAATTGGTGTAAAATCAGTCTCCTTGGGACTACTACCATTTTCTCTTTTGCAATATTGCAGGCAGGTAATATGTCAATTTTACACATGAAATTTTGGAAGAATAGTAAAATGTAGCACGATATCTTTTATTCATGTCTTAGAAGATTGTCTTAGATGCTGTAGTTGCTCCAGGCCAAAAATAACTTGTGAGGCCAAACTGGACCAATGACTATTATTATAAAGAGACCATATAGTTGCATTTTGGTCTTCTTAAAAATGTTTTTCTAACTTTTAGATTGACCTGCTAATAAACAAAATTCTTAAACATCACAATATTTGCTTTCCAAAACAATAAATTAATGCAAATATAAAACACAGAGTCCAAGCTTTAACTACTCACTTTATTGCTATAGAAAGTCCACTTTCAGCATTTGGTTTTAAAAAAAAAAAGCTTCACATGAACCTTTGAGAGTCTTTGATACAGCGTCATTCAATAAAATAGTTGATTAAATATTAACTACGGAAGATAAAAACATCTGTCTGACATATTTCAGAGAAAAAGGGTACACCTGAAAAAACACTCATAAACCAGATTCATTGAGTTCTAGTGTTAGAGAAAGCTTCCCAAAGGTTCTCAGCCTTACAATAAAGAACAATAGAGTTTAGTTAGATGTCAAGGGGGAAAAAAAAGCAGGAGGAAAGAGGGAGAGCTTTCCCTTTAGACAGTGGTATGTGACAAAGTAAGGGTGCATGAAAACATGAAAGGTTTGAAGACATTCATTCAAATTCTCTTTTCAGAAGAAAACTATAGAGTAAGTAAATAAATATATATATTTATTCTTTTATTCTCTCTCTCTGTCTCCCCTCTCAACCTCTCTCTTTAAATCTCCATGGCAGTCAGCCACGTGCTTTAACATATCAGCTTGCACAAGGACATCAACATTACTTCAGGTTCCAAGGCAAGTGAGAGGCACACCAGCTCTTTAAGAGTCATTAGTTCTTGAGCTCGCTCTCTCTTTTTAAATTTATCTTTATTGTTGAAAGTGTTACAGATGTCTCCCGTTTTCCCCCTTTGCCCCTCTCCACCTCACTGCCCCCATTCCCACCACACCCCAGGCCTTCACTGCACTATTGTCT